TTTCTTTCTTTTTTTTTTTTTTTTTTTTTTTTTTTTTTTTTTTCCCCCATACCATTCTTCATGTACCAATTCCTGTGGCTACACAACCTTTTCATGCCAACTGCACTGCACATTTTCAAGTGCGCGTGGTGTGTCCACGCGCATAGATCGGAAGTTTTTTTGCCATCCGAAAGGACAACTCGAAAAAAAAAAAAAAAAAAAAAAAAAAATTTCAACCATATTATGCTTTTAAAATGGAAGATTAAACATAAAAAAAAAAAAGGAAACGCGAGTGAGCAGAGTAGATCATTCGGGTGAACTCATCAAGGGGGAAATTCCTCTTGGGGAAGTGAACAAGAACTGGTCAATCAGCTAGCTCACTGAACAGGTGGTGTACCTCGCCTGTTCTCCCGACCGTTATTACCTCGGGTGTGTGACGCAAAAGCTCACACTGCTTGTGATCGTGCGAATTAGGAATTTGCCGAGCTAGATGGGGGGGGCAAACCATGTGGCTGTCTTTCCCCAAATGAGGTGTAGTGTAGTGACGTAGAAAAACGTCATGACGTGGGACAAAAACTCCACAGTGCAAGTCGCGCGTGGGCCGCAGCAGAAGCGGGATAGAGCTAGTCGCAGGGCTCCTTCACAGTGGGATTAAGGGGGCATGTGTCAGGGGTGGTAGGTGGCGCATGCCGTCTGAGTGAATTGGCCAGCTGCACAATCGCGTCGCACTCCCGTATAAAGGAGTCGTTGTCGACAATGCATATGACGCTCTGCCTAGACTTTTTAATGCACTTGCCCAGCAAGTTTTTGCTTAAGGCATAAACCAAAGGTATGCCTTTCTCCTGACACTTGGAAATAATTTTATTCACTTGATCATCGAACACACCGTTCGTCATTGGTTCAATGTTCGGCGCCAGAAGAACCAACTTGGGGTTGTCAACACAAGCGTGTCTGTAGCACTCCCGGAGCCCCAAGTAGAATCTTTTTTTTTTTTTTTTCATTAAATACAGTTGCTCTTGCGATTTTGAAATTTTTTCCAAAAATGATTTTACCATATTGTTCAGCTCCTCCGTTATTACCTGATCGACATACTCATTAATGTACGTTTTTTTTTTCACCCTGCTTTCTTGTATGTAGTTCATAATTTTTTCGCTTCTGAGGATGGACTCTTTTATTTGGTCCCTGTTGGGGAAGTCACCGCTGCTACACTGTGTTGTTTGAGGCGGGACATTTAGATTGTCCGCCTTTGAGTGTACCTCAACGGGGGGGACCCTACCTGCGCCCTTCTTCCGAATTGATTCAGCTGGTCCACTCATTTGCACATCTCCCCGTTGAAACTTTCCTCCCCACAGGAGGAGAAATTTTTTCACGCGAGCGACTTCTTCACTTATTTGTGTTGCAACGTTTGTGGCTTCTTCCAAGTAGTGGCTATCGGATGAGTGACGTTTCTTTTCTTGCTCCCCTTTCAGTTGGCCCCACCTACAGGTAGCAGAGTCGGTGGGTCTCATAGCCTTTCTCCACTTGGCCTTTCGCGAAATAAACTTTATGTAGCCTTCTCTGGCATAGTTTGGTGATCCCTCCATTGGGGGAAGCGTCTTTTTGGGTCCCCTCATGGAATGTCCATTTTGAGTTGCCCCGAGCAAGTCCTTGTAAACACTTTCCTTTGCTTCCTTCTCGAGCAGGATAAGCTTCTTTCGTTTTGTTTTTTTTTTTTGTCTGAACTTTTTGGGTAAAAAATACACATTGCCTTTTTCCCGTTCTGTCCGAATCATTTCATTCATCTTTCGGAGCATCTTTTTTTTTTTTTCAAATTCATTTTTTTTTTTTCTTTTTTGGCTAATGAGCATATTCATTTGCTTTCTTTTTTTCATTTCCTTCCTTTTTTTTTTGTCACTCGTGAAGGTAATCTTCACAACTCTGTCTCCGATCTGGGTGTGTCTCTGTGTGGTGACGTTATATCTTTGGCTCATTTGGGTTTCCATTTTTTTGTGTACTACTTTGTTCTGAGAGGAGACTATCGGTCCCTCAGGCTGGTTGTTTCGTCTCCCCAAGTGGGGGATCTTCTCACCGTGAGGGTTCATCTGGACTGCAGGTCATTTCACCTTTGCGTTTTTTTTTTTCCTCTTTTGCTCAGGAAAGTGAGAAAAAAACAAATCACAAACCATCATGGGGAGAGGCACATATTGTCCCCTACAACTATGCACTTAAAACAGACAGGGGTGGGGTGGCGTCTGTTGCCTCCTACCAATTAGCGCTTCACTTCATGTCGCATCTAATTCTTTGGTTTCCCCGCACGGGGTTATCCCAATTGTATTTTCTTTGTGCCAAATACACGTTACCTTTTTTTGCGCTTATGTAGGGGGGGTGAGATCATCAGCTGACCTTTTGCCTTCAGCTCGGCAGATGTGGCCTCAGCGGCACACAAAGCGCAGGAAAAAGGAAACTCCCCTTTTTGTAAGGCGGCGGCTCCGTACACCGCGTGCAAGTGCGGAAAAGGACCATTTGGGGGGAGCGACGGAATTTTTTTTTTTTACGAACTTGACTGCCCACACAGAGTTGCCTTTATTATTCCTACTAATATATCCCCCCCGGTACGCAGAAAAAAAAAAAAAAAAAAAAAAAAGTGAAACCCCAATTGGATGCGCTATGCTCCGCAATAGTACACGGTAGAGTTTTCACCCCCCCCCTTTGAAGGATGAACCCTGGAAGTTACTTCCCCGCGGCGCCGCCGCCTCCTCCTCCCCTGTCATTCCAGGGCATCAATAGTTTATGTAAATAATATAAATGAGAATGCGCGAGAAGGGGGTTGGGCTTCTGTGCCATGTACCCAAGCGACAGTTGCGTCTGTTCTGCGATTGGCCCCAGTGGGAGTTCCCCGGACACACTTCTTTCGCCTTGTGTTATACGCCGCGTTGTCCTATACGGTGCGCGCCTCCAACGCACGCCTACTTTCAAGCTCTCCTTTTTTTTTTTTTCCCATTTACCCCTCCCAGACACAAGTGCGAGGACCAAATTCTTTTTAATCAAAAGCTCGTCAGACAAAAATATCTCCATTTCGCTAAACTTTAACATTTGGGCCACGACTCCAAAAAATGAACATAAGTTTGTTCCCGCTTTTACGGTTAGTTGCACGTGACACATGAGCGGCGAATGACTCACCTGGGGGGGAAGTGAAGCTGAACGGCTAGTGAATTCCAAGACTACTGCGGCACTGCACCGAGGGACCCCCTCATCATCGCTGCTAATGGAGAAAACGTTGTTAAAATGGCTCATCTGTTTTACCCTCCTTTTTGCCCATTTTTTTTCTCATTCATTTATCCTTTTTTCGCCCGTCCATCAGGAAAACGACTACGTGATACTGATCTTCTCCGTCAATGGGAGCTCCAAATTTTGCGGTTACGCCGTCATGCGGTCCATGTAATGTTTCCGCGGGGAGGCCGACCAGACGAACTGTCACCCGTCACACATGCACACCTTTATTTGTGCACACTTACACATTTACTTTGCACCCCTTTTTATCTTCCCCCAGGCCGGGCGAATCCAAAAACAGCAATGTCTATTTCTACTATGATGACAAAATATTTCGAGGACGGAACTTTGACATTCAGTGGATTCGAGTGTAAGAAGCGGGAGGGAAGCGACGGCAACGCCCACTCATAAAACCATCATCAAGAGTAGCCACCTATCCCGCGACATGCTTCAAAATAAACCACCACACAAAAGAACATCGCTCTGCTTATTGTCCGCTGCTCCCTACTCTTTCCTCCCCTCGTAGCGTCGATGTGTCCTTTCAAGAAGTGTCTCACTTAAAAAATAGCTTGAACGAAAATAAGCCAATCAAAGTTGGGCGGGATGGACAGGTGAGTTAAGTGGGCATGAAAAAGTATGAACAGGCAAGGTGAACTAGCCAAAAAAAAAAAAAAAAAAAAAAAAAATTGCACACAGGGTCAGGTGGAAAAATGCAGCCAGTGTGCTGGTACTAACATTACTACACCACACAGACGTACCTTTTTTTCTTCTTCTTTTTGTCCCTCTTACAGGAAATTGAACGAATGGCCGGCATAAAACTTTGCGAGGTGTTCGAAGCTAAATACCTGAGCATGGCTTCTTGCACGTAAAACTAAAAAATATATTACGCGCTTGAGGGGAGCCCCCCTGGTGCTCATTGTGGCACGCGTCAGCTCGCCTCTATATCTGCCCCTCTGCACGATTTCCCCCATTTTGTTAGGGACCAAGGTGCGCAAGAGGAGATACAATCAAATCAGGCAAATCATGCAAACCAGACGATCCAAGTGAACCAGGTGAATCAGGCAAATCAGACAAACCTGGCGAAACAGTCTAAACAAACGAGTAACACAGCGTATGAGACAAGCACGAACCTGCTATCGAGCAGCCCGCTCGGGACGGAGAAAAGGGACTGCGTGAAACTCTTCCCCCTGAGTAACAACTTAAACATAAACTACGGCACCTTCAAAAGGATGTATGCCGAGTCCCAGTACAACTTGGTCAACATATACAACCCCGCACTGCACGTCTTCCCGATCGATCTCACGAACATGAGTTACGACGAGTACATTGATTTGTACGAGTCGACGCAGCAGGTGTGGCAGCGGAAGATGCTCCAGTTGCGGTTAGGCGGTTAGCCCATTTTGCTGTCAATCGGTTTGGCTGTTCAGCGGCTCTGGTTTACTTGGGCCGCGTAACCACGCGAACGGACATGTGTATATGCAAAAACGCGTCCCTTTACGCCTTTACCACCCTCCGCAAGTGACTCTCCTTTTTTTTTTTTTTTTTTTTTTTTTGTGCCTTGCTACACTGCCCACCCTTTAACCGCCACATCGATTGTCTCATCACCACCCTCACTATGACGCACCAACCAGTGGTAGCACCCCTCGTGCACCTGAACCACCGTTGAATCCATGTGGCTAAACAGGTTATCCTGCAAACAACGTATAAAGGTATCACAAAAAAGAAACTTCTCTCCATCCAGGAGAAACAGATTCAAGGAGGGTATATAAATGTCGAATGTGAATGGACTGTCTACCAGGTGCACTTGTTCCTCAAAGGGGATCTTCTGATCTTTCAAATATTTTACAATCTCGTGTGTCCACATGTTATCACCATAACGGGAGCACTGGGTACTCCTACTCCTTTGTCTCTCTTTTCTCATTTGGCTAATCGATCGTGTATACAAGAGGGTGAGCTGTTTGTACTTGGAGCAAATCAGGTCGAATGAAAACAACCCCTGAATTCTAATCATATAAATAAGTTGCACCAATAGGAGACGCCAAAAGGGGGGGATATCTGCACCGTTTGCTAATTCATTGTTAATTTGATTCAACACGGGTGCTACGTCTTCCAGCAAAATTTTCTTCACGGAAACGGTGAGGAGGAGGTAGCTGATATGCACGGTGATGGAGTTGGACTGAGCACTAGGGTTGAAGTTAACGTAGCCACTCACTTCGTAATCTACGTCGAAGTTGGCTCCCCTGTCCATGTGTACGCAACTGCTCCAAGACGCCTGAATGCTTCCCAGTAGGTTTTCTACTTGGTCACAGGGGCCGTACTTATGGACCCCCCTGGCGAGTCGCAACAGATCCTGCGCAGAGCATCCCGCTCCCCCCCTGTGGAATACAAAATCTGCGTAACACAGGTAGTCGGCTCGGGTGGGAAAAGGGTCCTCCAAGGCATCACTACATCTGCCCCTACTTATCATGTTCAGGTAAAAGAATTCATACCTTCTAATCAGCTCTTTAGATTGGACTTTCATTTTTTGACTCTCCCCATGTTCGTTAAATAATTTTCTAATTTGTGCAAAGTCGTTAAAATTGATGATGGTAGTGTGATGGTCAGTCGTTTCTGTCGCTGATTCGTCCCTCGAGCTGGTATGTTCTGTGGGGTCCTTAGCAAGGGCGTACTTCACAACTGCGTCTTTTCCCTTCCATTTCAGGTAGTCGTTTAGCGCCGACAGGAAGGTGCTTATGAATAGGTCGATTATGTCCTCCTGTTGGAGGTGGCAAAATGTTAGGTTGATCAGGCAGTCCACGTTGTACCCTTCGTTCGCTCCTCCCGCGTCCTCCACGTTTACCTTGTTTACCACGTTTACTTCATTCTTTGTGTCTCCCCCTTGCACGCCCAGACCGCGCCGGATGGCCGACATCACCTTCGCCCTACAAATACCGACGATCTGCTGTCTGCGCCTCTCGAACGCCTCTTCTGAGGAGAGGTATCCCGCCGCCGCGTCACCCGCAGCGTCGTCCCCCTCCCGGACGCACCTCCTGTCCCGGGCACTTATCTGACTGTACTTGAAGCTTTTAAACATTCGATAAAAAAAAAAATGGTGATATGTACAGAGGGGCCATGAGTTCTCTTCGAATAATCTCAAGAAGAAATGTATAAAGTGGGAACCTTTTAGTTCAAAGTAGAGCAAGTGGTCGATGAGGGTGAGTAGGAGCAAATCGCCAAAGCGCTTCACGGCGGCGTACTCCTCTGGGTGCTTCTGTGCGTAGGTTTGCAGCACTCGGGTGGGGATCCCGAACTTGTCCTTTGTGAAGGAGCGGACAGACAATGCGTCGCCAAATGGGAACTCCTCCTCAAAGAGACTACTGCCGCTGCCTGTGCCGCTACGTCCACTCTGATCACTCTCGTGTGCCCCCGCCTTCCCCGCACCGCCAAAGCTGCTTTCCACACCGCCCAATATATTTGTTGCCTTTTCCCCGCCTTCGCTAACAGAGTTATTAATGCAGTCGAAAATGTTTAGGGGGCTGTGGCCGGTCCTCATGGCTGAGAAAAATTTGCTCACAAAGAGTAGGAACAATTTTGCTAGCTGCTTGTTCATCATGAGGATGATGTTATGATCAAAGTACTTGTCGTAGCGGAGCTTCTCTCCCACTTGCATCTTCTCGATCACCGTTCTGTACAGCATGTATTCGCAAATGGAGTGGTACTCACTGCCTCGGTTGGCGTAGGTATATGTCCTACCGCCACGTCTTATATAGTCCAGACGGGGGGCGCTCAAGTGGAAGAGGCCGTCCATCTTGTCGCCCCCGCGAGTTAACCCAATTTCGTCCTCGTCACACTTGTCCGTTGCACAGATGGGCGCAAAGAAGGAAAGCATTTTTTTCTTCACTTCGTCGTAGGCAAGGGTGGGTCCCCCCAAAGGTACGGAAATGTCATCATGCCAAGTCCCCCCCCAATAATCCCTTCTTCTTGAATGCCCATTATTCACCCCATTTTTGTAAAAATTATATTGTCTGAGTGTGTGCAAAACCATGACGATATCACTAAATGATCCATGTACTCCAACTTTTACAAAAATATTTTTTATAAGAACATCGAAACCGTTAATGAGAGATTTATCTTGTTTTAAAAAGTAAAACAACTTGGCCAAAATTTTTTTCAAAATTTTCACATTAAAAGAGTTCAAATTTTGCCTGTACATGTTCAGAATATATTTTTGCACAAAAGGACATTTGCAAAAAATGTCTGTGTAGTAGGTCATCTTGTCTGCAATGAGAAAATTGTCCAATGACTTCATTTGAATAATTGAGTAATGTTTAAAAAATATTTGCAGTATGCTGGTGACGGAAGGATGTTCTCCTATTTTCAACAATTTTACCTGTTTGAGGTAAGTAAAAAATTGTTCCTCGTTTAGCACCTTCACTTTGCTTTTCATTTTATCCACCATAAAGTGTATGAAGTTGTCCCTAAACATGCTGCTCAGGAAGTTGTTCCAGAGGGTGTCTGTTCCTAAAGGTTCCTTCGAGATCAGCACTCTTTTCATGACTTCGTTTGTGAAGGCTGTGTAGATGTCTCTGTACAGTATGAGGTCTCTGTCCGTCACTTGGCCCACTTCCCCCACTTGGGCCAATTCCCCCAATTGGGCGCCCTTCACCTGATATGTGTGGAGGAGAGGAGGGTCGCCCCTTCCCAACGTGGGTCCTCCATCGCGATCCTCCGGGGCATGGAACATGTCTCCTCCTTCTCCCAAGAGGGGATTGCTCCTACATAAAGACTTGCTTTCAGAATGGCTCTGCGGAGCAGGTGGGGGAGAACAAGTGTGATCCATCTTCCCCTGGTTTATTACAATATCATCAAAGCTACTAAACACGTAGTGGTCCTTTTCATTTTTATTTATTCTAAGTAGGTTGCCCAGGAATATATCTAACTCGTTCTGTATTTTCTTCAGCACCTCCTTCTCCCGTTCACATGGGGAGTGATTATCCATGGTGTGTGTAGCCTCCTCGGGGGAATTATCCCCTTGTCTACCAACTACCATACCTGATCGATCTCCCCTATGCCGGATAACGCCACGTAAATACAGGCGCTTCAAGTAAAGATTCACATAACGAATGAGGAGCATCATTTGCTCCACGTTCATGCGGTGCTTCTTCATTTCGATACACCTGTGCATTTTGCTGAAGGAGTGATTCATTTGAACATAAAAGAGGTGGAAGTAGAGGAGGTACTTCAAATTGTTGAGGGGGTCCCGCTTAGTATTACAAATATACTTGTCACATAGGAGAACCACGTCTTTGTAATTCTGCTTGGTCTTTCTTAAGTGGTACAGGACATATAACATTTTGATCACATCGCCCATGTCTTCATTCACTTTGGAGTCGCACTCGTGGAACATTTCCGCTTCACATTTGGTTAGCTTGCGCTTCAGTTGGTCCACCAGCCGGTTTGCCTCATCGTCCATCCCTGCAGGGGGGGGAGCAAAGAATGGGTCACCGAATGGGTACACAAAATGGGGTCACCTGGCCGAAAGGGCAACCCCGCCCGGCAACGCTCTCAGGAGCACTTACCGATGTAGTACAGGAACACGATTTGCCTGCACAGCAGAGAAGGGTAGACGAGCGAGTTCCTATTCACAATACTTTTTAACTGAGTGAAGCACCTGTCCTGCTTGAGGGCAGTTAAGAAGTGCTCCCACACCTCCGTCTCATTAAACCTAGACGGAATGATGTGGTAAATATTCCTGAGTAACCCCAGGTATCTGTTTTTCCTCTTCGGATCCGCGGTATTCTCATGGTAGCTGCTGATGTAGCTTTTTACTTTTTTTAGCTTGCCCTCCGATGACTTGGCCACTAGGGAATGTATCCCTCTGGCAACCTGCAAAAATGTGGGAGGTGTCTAATAGTGTGGTTGGTGTCGGCAGGGTAGAGGTCAGATGATCGGTGCGAACCACACACCAACGTGTAATGCACCAGCGCGTTTTGAAAACTGACGCCGAAGCGAAGGGCCCTCCCTATGCCGCTCTATACGAACCTGAATCCGCATTACTCCCTTCATGGTGGGAAGTCACACCTCCGCGGCTGCAATTCTACTTAAGCCCGTCCTGGAGCGGTTACGCTCGTCCATCTAAAACGACTTGCTCTGCACCGCTCGCTCCGTGTTACATTCCTGTCCACCGCCACGTGGCCACCTCCCCTTTCCAGAGGTCGAAAATTTTCTTCAAATGGGGGATAAGTGGCTCAGTTCCCCTGGTTGTATATCTTCCTTTTTATATTGCTTCTCCCACGGGGACAGTGTAAGGGGGTATCCAATTTGGCAAAAGAGATAACTCCCTTAATGTTTCGGTGCTTTTATTTGGTTAGCCACTGGTGTGTTCGTGTATGCAAAAGTGCTGGTGTTGCAGTGTACAGCATCTTCCGCAAAAAAGAAAAAAAGAAATGAAAAAACGAAAAAAGAAAAGAAAATGAACAAACAAATAAACAAACAAACGAACGAATGAACAATGGAACAAACGACAAACAAATGAATGAATGACACAGATAGGGACGGGTACGGATGATTCAGGCGCTAACACCATGGGATGTACCTCCGCTTAAGGATTTCGAGCCAAATGTGGTAGCTCCAAACGCGGCTGCTAATTTTGCCGTCACTTGCCCCGTTTAACCATGTGCGGAACTAATGACCAACGGGGGAACCTTTTTTTTCCCTTTTTTGTTTTTTCCGCCCCCTACCCCATTTTCAAAAAGTGCAACAGGGAAAATGTTCTCACTCAAGTGAATAAACAGATACATACGTAGATTAACTTATTGGTTGATTTTTTTTTTTTTTTTTTTTTTTTTGTGCCAACAGCCGCCGGCCCTCCTCGTTGAGAACTTTCCTCCCATTTTAAATTCCCTTTTATATGTGTCGTACCAACGAGGAAGTGTCCTCTTCGTTACCCTCGCCTCCTCATGCACACCCTGCGACAAGCTGATATAGGAAGAACACGAAAAAAAAACAGGGACCTACTTCCTGGCAGAAGAAATGCAAAAGGGACAGGAAAGAGGAGGAGGGAAAATGCGTATACCACTCATCTGAGAAGTGGCAGGAAAGTAACCCCCCCCACACAGAGAGGCTATTCAGTAGGATGAAAGTGACGCAGCACAACCTCATGGTAGAATCAGAGAGCAGCATGATAGAACCCCAAGAGGAGGAACAACAATGCGGGTTGTCACTTTCGTGCTGCTTTTTTGTCTAGTAAGACTCAGCCTAACGACGGAGGCGTACCTTAGCAACCGCGTGGTCAAAGCGAATTATAACCTGTACGCAGTGAGGAAGAAAAACAAAAAAAAAATCCCCAAGATGATTCACATTACTGTGAGCGCTGACAATGAAATAGGAACAAAAGGTTCGCCATCACCAATATAACAAATGTGTGTGTGTGTGCGCGGTGTTAATGTAAAAAGAGACTGCTTTATATAATTCCCCTTTTCTCCACCTCTGCCCCTCCCCCCACTTGTGAACTTTTATCTTATCACCATTCACCCTCAGGAGACATAAAAAAGGTGAAGCTCTCGCACGCCTTCAACTACATCATACCGCAGAAATTGGGTTACAGAAGCACCATTGATGAGCTGGTCGAAAAAGAGAAGACTGAAAATACGCTCAAGTACATTGATGAAATTAAAAGGAGTTTTCTGTGGACGTACAAAAAGAAGCTTGACGGCTTTAACGTTCCCTTCCAGTTCGCTGAAGGGAAAAAGATCCTCGTTACCCAAGACCATATCCTTCATTATGTAAGGCGTGTGAGTGCACGTACGCACATAAGGGACATGTTTACATGTGTAGTACTTCATTTGTGTGTGTTGTGTAGTCCTCACCACTGTACTCAGTGTTGACGTTTCTGTGCAGAGGAGAAACATCGCCCTAACCGCCCCCCTTACCGCAGCTCCTAACGCGAGGGTTAATCCGCGAAAACGACGACGTGTACGATAAGATAAAAAGCAAAAAGGTGAATATCGACGACGTTGGAAGTTACCCGATGAAGTACACCTTTATGAACAATCTGCACATCGAACTCACTGTTCACGTGATGAGGGTCAAGTGAGCAGAGGATCCTTTCCTGCCAGGCGGACACATCCAGGCATACATGCAGGAGTATGCTTAAAGAGAAAAAAAAAAGGAGAATTTCCCCAACAGAAATGATCACTCAGCCATAATAATGTTACACATTTACGATATAACGTAAGGACAACCAACAGTTGCGCACACGAACATTCGCGTCTTGTAGCACTCCCTTTTGTGCAAAACAGAGGCAGCTACGTTTTTCCCCCCACACACATAGGAGTTGTCGTCTGACCGAAATGTCAGTAGCACCAGGGAGGACAACCCCCATTTTGCCACTGTTCACTTTGTTAAGGCATGGAAGACGCGCTCAGATAATTCGAGCTTCTATCAACACAAAGAGACAATTCCTTTTGCTTAACGTAGTTAACAAACGCAATTTGAATTTCCCACGGTGAAGCTTACTTAAAAGGTGAAGTAACATAGTCTACAGTTTGTATTCCCCCGAAATGCTGCTCAGTGGAACAGGATTTGCCACGTCGATGGGTTTTCGTGCGATTGTGCTATAAAACGCCTGAACGGGTCATAATTTGCCGAGCCATAGATATAATTAGGTATAATTTGGCACAATTTTTTTTTTTTAACTATACATGTATGCAACAATGGCTAGCTAGCTAAATAGCTAGTTTTTTTTGTTTTTTTTCTAGACTATTTCTCCCCTTTCGAGCTACTTCCCCAGTTGTATGGAGCGTTTTTCAGTTGTTCACCTGAACAGTTTTTTTTTTTTTTTTTTTTTTTTTAACAAAACGGTCAGGTGAAAACTACGCTTCTTTTCCCCCACGTTGCTTCCAGACAACGGTTGGTAACATTTTTTGCGTAAATTTCTTAAGACACGTATAATTTTTAAATGATTAAAAAATTTGCTCGTTTGTATTTAAGTCAAATTGTGCGTTTTGCTGAAAGACAGCAGTTTTTTTCTTTTATTCCCACCAATCTGAGTTTAATTTTATGCTCTTTTTCGTGTTTTAATTTTTTATTTTTCGCTACAGATCTTGTTCCTACTTTTTTTTTTTTTTTTTTTTTTTTGTTCACACGTCCTTGAAAAGTCAAAGGGGTGCAGTGCACGAGTCATTTGTATATCCCGACAAGTACACAAAAGTGGGGCTCATTTTTTTATTCTTTTTTTTTTACAAAAATAGGCATCTTGCTAAGTGGTGGTATGCTTTTTTGAGTAATTTGTGTGCCCCTGAGTATATCCTTGGCGGTGTCTTTTTTTTCCCGTTCTGGTGTAAGTTCTCGTTCGTTATAGCGCCCTTAGTTCTATTCACAGCGGCATCAGAGTGTAAGCAGTAGTATGAGTAGTAGTGGCAGGCGCTTTTAATTTTTTTCCATAGCGAGCAGACGTGGTGGAGTAGTGCGTCATACCTTTGTGCTCCTACCTCTAGGTGCTTACATTTTTTTTTTACGATTGTGGACCCACTTTTTGTGTGGTTCGTTCCTTGAGCTATCGCCACAAAGATGAGCACCGTGTGCGCGCACAGAAGCAGACCGAGCAGACCCGTGTCCAATGCAACCATCAAGAACAAGATGAAGAGGTCGACGGAGACCCTGAGGAAGAAAAAGGGGTCTACAAACAAGTCCTTCAAGTACAGCAAAAATAATACCGCGTACTGCGAGGGAAGCAGAATTGCTAGCAAGAAAGGGAAGCAGGAGGAGGAGTCACTAAAGTGTAAGAGGTCAAAATTGGGAGAAAGGGGATTAACTAAGAGTATGAAAAAAGGCAAAGATGGCAACGCGCATGACAATTCGCAGGAGAGTCAGCACGAGAATGTGCATGCACATCACGCAGAAAAACCAGACAATAGTGAAAATTTTAAATTCTCCAGGAAGGGGTTCATTTTAAGCTTTACAGGAAATATGCAGGACTTTTACAACCTCTCCGAAGAACCCCTAGGTAAGGGAACCTACGGATCCGTTTACAAAGCGACAGACAAACTCCTCAAAATTCAAAGAGCTGTGAAAGTGGTGTCCAAGAAAAAGTTAAAGAATGTACACAGATTCAGACAGGAAATAGACATCATGAAAAATTTAGATCATCCTAATGTGATAAAGTTGCTGGAAACGTTTGAAGATAGCAAGCAGATTTACTTGGTGATGGAGTTATGTACAGGTGGAGAGTTGTTTGATCGAATTGTAAAAAAAGGACCCTTCTCTGAAATGTACACTTCCTTTATCATGAAACAGATTTTTTCCGTTCTTAACTACCTGCACATTAGGAATATATGTCACCGAGATGTGAAGCCGGAGAATTTTTTATTTTTCGATAAGAGCCCAGAATCGCTAATCAAGGTGATTGACTTTGGCTTGGCTTCCTACTTCAGTGACACGAACTCAGAGATGAAGACGAAGGCTGGGACCCCCTACTACGTCGCGCCGGAGGTGCTAGGTGGCTGCTACGACTACAAGTGCGACTTGTGGTCTGCCGGCGTGCTGTTCTACATCCTGCTGTGCGGGTACCCTCCCTTCTACGGCGAGAGCGACCACGAGATACTCATCAGGGTGAGCGCCGAGCGGTTATGCAGCATTGAGCGGTTGTGGAGCATTCAGCGATTATGAAGCGGGGGATGGCTTTGTACCCACTTGATTGGTGTGGTGAATTGGGGCGATTTCTGATTTTTTATGTCTGCCCGATTTTTTTATGTCTGCCCCCACAGGTGAAAAGCGGTAAATTCAACTTCAAGGGCAAGGAGTGGAGCGACGTGACGGAGGAGGCCAGAGACCTCATCAAGCGCTGCCTAACCATGGATCCGCAAAAAAGGACAACTGCCAGTGAAGCCCTGAAGCATCCCTGGTTCAAGAAGAAGCCGAGCAATTTCAACTTAGAATTTAAAATGGACATACATGTACTGGAAAACTTCAAGAATTATGCCCTCATGCTACGTTTTCAAAAGCTAGCCATGACGATTATTGCTCAACAGAGTAACGACTACGACGTGCAGCAGCTGAAGGCGGCATTTCTACACCTGGATGAAGAAGGGAAGGGGAACATAACAAAGGGGCAGCTGCGGAAGGGTTTGGAAAAGAGCAACTTGATGTTGCCCCCGAATTTTGACTTACTCCTGGACCAGATAGACAGCGATGGAAATGGAAACATTGAGTACACGGAATTTTTGGCGGCTGCGATTGACAGGAGACAGTTGTCCAAGGTGAGTAAAGAATCGGTTGTTTCAGACGACTGGCGTGTTCCTCTGTAGGTCTCCCTTTCCCCATCACACTTTTTTTCCTTCCCTCTTCTTTCCCCTCTTGCAGAAGCTCATTTACTGCGCCTTCCGCGTGTTCGATGTGGACAACGACGGGGAGATTACCACCGCGGAGCTAGCTCATGTATAAGCCTTCACCGGCACATTCTTGCACGGGAATGTACCCCGACGGTGCATACACGCAGATGTGTAGCAATGTACATAGCAGCATAGGAGAACATTTGAATTTTTTCCCTTCATTTATTTCACCCTTCTTCGTCCCCGTTTTGTCACCAATCTGTGCCGCCTTCCCACTTCAGATCCTTTTCAACGGAAACAGAAGAGGAAACATCACAGAGAGAGACGTCAACCAAGTTAAGAAAATGATCAATGAGGTGGACAAAAATGGCGACGGCAAGGTAATGAAGCGGGTGTAGCGGTGGTGTAGCGCGTGCATCGCGTGCAGCGGAGGGTGAACAAAAGACAAGCAAACATATATGCCTGTGTCCAGTTGCTATCTTCGCCATGTGGAGAGCAAGCCGGCCTGTGGTCAAAACACATGTCTACGCGTATGTTGAGCAGGAGTGTCTTTTTCGTCCCTCCCCGCTTCAATTCTTTTTTTTTTTTTTTATTTCCCCCTTTGGTAGATCGACTTTTACGAGTTTTCCGAAATGATGAAGTTGAAGTTTTAGCCTCGGGGGGTTAGCGGCCATTTATATCTCCAAGCATCATACACACAATGGGGAAGGAAAGAAAGCGAAGCGACATATTTGAGGGCAGACGAGACAGTGCAACCATTTAGGGATGGGTCGCTTTTTGTGCTTTTTCATACGCGTGTTCATATCCCTTTGGCCTCTTTAATTTTTTCCCATTTTTTAATTTTTTCAATTTTTCGAATTTTTCAATTTGCGGCTTCCCACATATTTGCTGCCGCTTTTTCCGCGGATGATTTAAATTTGCTTTAAGTGCCGTTTGAGTATTCATTTTGTTTTATTTTTTATTTTTTATTTTTAATTTTTTTTTTTTGGAGTCTTACTTTGAATGCCCCACTCTTTGCGCAATAATTTAACTGTGTCCGCTTGAGCGGTCCGACAAAAACTTTGTTTGACTGCACGTTATGCACGTAGTACTACTCGGCGCCACACAAAAAAAAAGGAGGGGCAGACTGCACGTGTGAGTAATATACATGCTAATGGGGGTCTTTTCCTACCGAGTAAACTTACTTTCCCAAGAGGAGGGGAACACTATTACAGATTTGTGCGGAGACGAGGGATGGACTAGGCGTCTTTTCACATATGAGCACTAAGTGGGGAATCCTGGTTCGTGTCATTCCCCCCTCCTTCATTTCGGAATATTAGAGTAGGGAATAAAGTACTGTTTGTCTGTCCCCCTTATACATGCGGGACATATATACAAACATGATCGATCAGGACACCTCTGTACATGTGAGGGTAATATTTGTATAATTTGTTTTTCCCTTTACTATGCCCAGACGAGAGGGTAAGTAATTCTTTTCACGTCATGGGATCCCACTTGGAAATGGGACCTACACCAGTTTGCAGTCATTCATATTTCTGCTGGTATGTGTTGACTAGTGGGGGGGACATCTGTTTTGTCCACATCTCCACAGCGAGAGTTATTCGGGGGTTCCCAAAAAGGGAAAGAACAAGAGAGAGACAGAGAAGGTGATAACCAAGTTGTGAATGCACGGCAAAAGAGCAACATCATGGCCAGAAGGTGGGAGATTTTGGGGGGGGGGGCAGCCAGTCCATTCTGCAACCACTTGGCAAAGAGACATTGTTATGCTTATAAGCGCGTCGCGGCACAGCGGGGAAGAAGTTGCGCTAAAAAATGCTTTACATACAAATGTATGCCGTTAAAAAAAAAAAAAAAATATATATATATATATATATATCAATATATAATATATATTTATGTACATGTACTTGCAGAGAATAACTCGTTGTTGCCAAGTGTAGAGAGGTCGCGTTTTGCGTCACGGCTCCATAGGAGCGGCACGCATACTC